TTGATATCCATAAGCAGATCTAGACAGTATCAATATCAGTCCATTGAATTCAGTTTATAATAATAATAGTGATAATATTTTCAAGTAGTACAGTAAAAACATCTATACTATTCCCATAGTGATATCTCACTTTAGATTTGGAAGGTAGTAGGTATAATATTGAAGATCAGTTTTATTCAACATACTACCCCATGATATACCCGAAAGCCAATTTAGACTAGCAGTGGCACTGATCTATAATCTGGGATAAAAAGCACATCCTGAGATAGATTCCTGTGCAAGTGATTTATTAAGGAAGTGTTTCTGAGGGAAACTGGTGAGGGAGTGGGAGAAGCAGGGCAGGGAAGGGAAGAAGCCCATACAATCCTCGCCTCAGCCTCATCTGCAGAGAGCTCTGGAGTAGAAGTCACACTTCAGAGCTGTCCCTTCTATTGGAGGAAGGGGAACTGGGCTTTCATCCTCCTGCACCTACCAGATATTGGTTAAGTATTTCCAGCTCTCTGCCAGTGTGAGCAAAGCAAAATCCAGTAGCCTGAGGAAAGTCCTTTGAATGAAAAGCTGACTAGCAGTTGCTAGCTTCTAGAAGTCAAAGTAGGGGGAATAGGGGGTGAGGGAGAATTAGAACACCAAAAACAGAGCAGACATGTTATCTGCCTCAGCCTCCTCTAGTGTATTGACCATACCACCTCACTTCGTGACCATAGGTAACAGAAACACTTAGAACTATATCACAGGATTGCCTGAAAATTAATGACCAGGTCAGAAAACATTTTATCTCTCATTTGTCATAAAATCCTCAGAGACCCAAAAAGTGAGGTTAACCTTTTCCTCCAAAAGACTAATAAAGAAGAAAGTGATGATGCTCAGAATATATTTTACGTAAGGTCATAATGACGAAAACAGGCTTCTATCATCCTGATGGCACAGACAGGATATGATGCTCTGCTATACCCTGCATCTAGAACTACATTAATCTCGTGCCCAGCCTGAAGAGTTGATATTCTAGCATTGCATGATCTCAAGGCACACTGATTAACATAAAAATGTATTAAAAGCAAGCTCTTGGAAATATAGCTCTATTCCCTCAATTGTGTTATTTTATATCACCAAATGATGTACTTACAGTGGCAATGATCAGATATACAAAGTAATCAATAGTTTCTCTTTGGAGAAGTGGCATTTTCAAATGCTATTTATTATGAATTTGAGTTTTTCATCGGGAAGTTTTAAACATGACAAACTAAGCTGATGCTTTTTTTTTTTTAGTTTTAGCTTCATTTATGAATGTTATACATGCGGTTTTGTTCTATACACATTCTCTCTCTCTGTCTCTCTAATTACTAGATGCTATTGGTCCAATCATCAAGCACAAAACCAGGAACATGAACTATAGGGTGACAAATCAAGTTGCTTTTTATTGAACTTGATAATAAATGAATAATAGAGATCATGAACTATTTCTAGAAAATATTCAGTGGAGGTGCCCTGGGTGATTTAGTCAGTGAAGCACCTGCCTTCAGCTCAGGTCATGATCTTGGGGTCCTGGAATCAAGCCCCTCATCAGGCTCCCTGTTCAGCAGGGAGTCTGTGTCTCCCTCTCCCTCCGCTCCTCCCCTCATGCTCATGCATGAATGTGCATGCTCTCTCTCTCCATCTCAAATAAATAAATAAAATCTTAAAAAAAAGAAAATATTCAGTGGACTAAAGATATATTACATATCAGTAAAGCAACTAAGTACAAGATTGATATTGGCCTTAGGTACCCATCTAAAATAAGAGGTTCTGATCCTGTTTGCTTTGAGAAAAAAAAAAAAGTTGAGATTCTTTTCTATCTAAAGATTAACCATTCATTTATGTTATTATCTATAAATTTTTGTTTATTATAGCTGGCAAATCATTATATCACCCATAAATGTCTGATTCCACTCAAAAAAGCCTAACATTTGGAAAATCCATGGTTGGTTTCATGGGGCATAGTACACCACATTTTCCATTTAATGATTCTGCTGGTGAAACCCAGCTGTCCAACCTTGCTGTTAGTGACTACAGTATATACAGCAAAAACAATCTGCCTGCTGACCTCCGGCTTAAGTTCAAACTATGTCATTCTGTCAATACCATCTACCTTGATTAGGTTGGGCTTTATACACAACAGGTTATGATCCCAGAGGGATGAAAAGCTTTCCCAAATTAAAAGCAGAATTTTAAAAGGAAATACTCATACATTCCTATGCAGTTTCCATTTGATATCCTCAAGGCTGGCCCATGAACTCAAACTCCTGTTGATTGAAAGTGAATGTTCCTTTCTGGGTGTAGCCATCTTACAAATTTAATGGCAGGAGGAAAATAATAAAATGTGTTCCATGCTTCAATTAGACCTTTTATAACTTGGCACTTCAACGATGGCAATGCCAAAGAAAAATCATTAATCAATCATAAAGATAGACAAAAAGGATTGTGCGGGAGAAGACAGACCTCCAAGATCCTAGGGCCTGGGCAGAGCATTCCCTCACACCAACATGGTCTGTCTTTTGTCTAGTCTCTCTGTGAATCTAAGACTTCATGCTATTTGGATAAAATCTATACTGTATTTGATTCTAAAATCCAACCATGCTTTCAATTTTATCCTTAGCCAAAGGAACTGTATATATAACCAGGCAATAAAATGTTGGCTAGCTATGAAATGCCTATTCATGCACATGAATGATAGGTGAAAGCGCGCACACACACACACACACACACACACCTGCAAAATAAAGACTAAAAGATGCATCCTTCCGCTTGTAAATACAAAGTAATAAATATGCAACAGACATGCTCAAAAGGACCAGCGTTTTTCATAACCCTAGTTCAGATAACTGTGGACACACAAATGCTGCTTGATTACTCTGAGTCAAAAAAAAGAAGTCATAGAGTGATATCCGGAACATGTGCAGACCTCTGTGAACCTCCAAACTCATTTTTAAATGATGTCAAGTGAGTCTGTCAATAATAGAATGTATAAATTAGCTAAGAGTCAAGGGAGCAAGAGATTTCCCCCTCTTGGTCTCCTGCCATACCTAATCTGTCAGCACTAAACCTCAAACAACCCCACTGTGCTTCTTCCCTGCTCCCACTCCCCTGGTTCCAGCATTCCTGCAGACTGTTACCAAACCACAGTGCATGGTTCCATCTCTAGGTCATGCCTGTTAACTTCAGCTGAGACCCCAAACTACTTCATAATTCCTTCTATCTCAGATTGAAGCCCTATCACATTCAAACTGTCAACACACTTCTGGCCTCCTTTTCAACACCAAATTCTGGAAAGAGTAATTTGCAGCCCCTGGTTCTGCATCCTCAACATTTAGTCACTCCTTAACTCCTAAATTCTGGCTCCTGCCTTCTCCGCTCTAATGAAATTCTACGCTAAGTTTGCCAAAGGTCTCTTCCAACCAATCACCAAATTTCATGCCATGGTTCAAGCTTCTCGCTCCCAGATGTCTTAGTTTTGTACACATGGACAAATCTCCTGGAAACTCTGCTCATGTTGCTGTACTCTCACTACAACCTCCCTATCCTTCCATCTCCACCTGCACCCATCTCTACTGGCATTTCTTCTCTTTTCCTGGTGACAGTAGTGGTGACGGTTTTTCCTCCTCCTCCTCCCAACTCTTTAAATCCCAGGCTCTGGCAATAAATTTCTAATCCCTTCCTCTAGCCCTGAAAACTCTTTTTAGCACCAAACTCATATTTTCAATGACTTTTGCCTACCTTCATTTAAGAAATCTGCCAGCACTTCAGAGTCAAAATAGCCTAATCCAAAATAATCACTCTAAGCTTATTCCAACCATCTCTTTCAATGTTCTCCTTGATACTCTTAAGTGATTACAGATTTATTCTCAGCCACGAGGCTCAAACCTTGGCATTATGATGGTTACACTTTCTGTCAACTTTACTTCCACAGTGCTTCCTGACTCTGGACTCTACTCCACAACCACCATATGTTTACATATGAGCTGGCGCCCATGATCTTTTTCATCTTTGCATTTGCACAGAGCTTAGCTTCCTGCCTTGCATTTAGTAGGGTGGCCAAACTTAAACCTACTCCTCTTAACGACACTATATTCATCTTACTGTAATTATTCTTTATGCCCAGCTCCTCATGGAGCTACAACCCACTACAACCATGGTTATTCTCCTACACTATTCACATTACTTCTCATTTTACTTTCATTATCTGAATACTTTTTTTTTTTTTTTTTACTACCAGGTCATTAGCTCCTTGAGATTAGCACTTCTATTTTCTTGTTACTCATATAAGGACTAAATTAGTGGTTCTCAAGGTATGGCTCCTAGACCAGCAGCATTAGAATCACCTGGGACCTTGTTACAAATGCACCCCAGACTATGGAATCAGAAACACTGAGATGAGGACCTCAGTAAAGCAAGACATATATAAATAAACTGTTTATCTTTTTATCATTTAGTATTATATTGGCATGGAATTCCCCCAAAACATTAAAAAATATGAGAAAACTATCCATTACCATTTTATCAATATCTTAAATCTAATTTGTATATTTTGAAAGGTTTTTAAAAAAATTATAGAAATCATGACATAATGATACTCTTTTTATGAAGTTCAAAAATAAGATAAATAAAAGATTACATATGCATAAAGTTTTAGAACTAGTTTTTAAAAAAATGAATGATAACCACAAAATTCAAGATCAGGGTTATACCTGGGGAAAAGCAGATGGAGATGAGGGAAGAGAGGAGCACACAGGCCCAAGTCACTGGTAACATTCTGGGTCCCATGTTCACAGATGTTCATTACCTTACTGAAATTAATTAATTATGGCCATATACGGATCAATGCTGACAGTATTTCCCGAACTAAGGATTATTAGTTAATCCTGAGTGCTCTGGGATCCATAAAAATTTTTTAAAGGGATAAAAAATATGTCACAATTCTGTCCTTAGTATTAGTCTTAACCACCAATTACCATGTTCAATGCTCATCATACCTGTGTGCGGTTGAATGCCACTCTTGCAAAGACAGCTTGGGACACACTGGCCCTCTTCAGCTCATCTCTGACTTGCTGGTAGATATCTGGAGAAACTTCTACGGAAGAGTTGGTTGGCTCTGGCTTAACTGCTCTGGGAATGGGCGGATGGTTCAGGAACTGCTGGTTGATGGCTTGAGGATGCTGGTGAGCCAGGAGCCGGCTAACAGCAATCTGTTGGTTTATCAGATGGGCCATGGCTATTTGTTGCCTAACAAGTTGTGGACTGAGCTGGGGAGAAAGAAGACCAGGGCTCATGATGGGCTGTAACGCGGGCACTTGGTTTCGGATTGGAGTACTGTGGTGGATTTGGCTATGAGGAGACTGTTCGTTGGTTTTCCCCAAGGATGCCAGCTGGTTCATATTTGGTAAATGCATTGGACGCTGGCCCAGAACACAATAGTCTGAAAGGTTTTCTCGTTCCACTCTTTCCACTGTTAAGAGATAACAATGATAATTCATCATTATTTTCACTGGTATAATTTATTGCTAATATATGTAGTACTGAATTATCATATTTTTGGTATACTAATGACATAAGTTTTTTTCATACAAAGCTGGAAGCCCCAGAGTAAAAGTGAGCTATCCCTCCCTGCAAAATGTTACAATAGTAGATTTTTTCATAGGTGATATGAAAGTAATAATACTTACCACTTCATTTTTCTTAAATTCTTAAAAGTAGGCATTTTATTGAATAACCAAGAGGGAAACCACTAAGCATGATAAATTCTAAATCCTCTCATATTCCCAAGCTCTCTCATCTCCCTCATCACCCTCTGTTATAAAAACACCAGCTGTTCTCATCTTCTGTAGTTTGTGGTTAATGGTGTAGTTCATGGTTATCAGGAAATGACAAGGACAACATCTCCTGCCAAATTAACTGCTACCTCCTAATAAAAATCTCACACAGTAAGTATTATACAACTATGGGAACATTCATAGAAAATGTGTACCATGTAGTATAACCTTTTATCTTGTTATCACTTGTTATCTTTGTTATAGGAATATTTCTTTAAGAAATGGATATGTTAATAATTGTTGAAATGCACTAGGATAAGAAAAAATCTCACAATATTAATAACATTGCCTTGACTTTCCATTATATAAGATGCTCCCCCCCCCCCACCGGATATCTACCTTACTACATTTTATTGCACTTTCCTAGTAGTAAAGATTTAAGGAATAACCTGGAAAGGCAGAAGAAAAAGGAAGTATCATATACGTTCAAACATCAGGCAGATTTTTTTCCTCCCCCAAGAATATTTCCCAAAAAGAGCAAATCACCTCAGAGTCAAATTCTTTTTTTTTTTTTTTTAAGATTTTATTTATTCATTTCAGAGAGAGAGAGCAAGCAAGAGTGGGGAGTGAGGGGCAGAGGAAGAAGCAGACTCCCTGCTGAGCATGGAGCTGATGCAGGCCTCCATCCCAGGACCCTGGGATAATGACCAGAGCTGATGGTAGATGCTTAAACAACGGAGATACCCAGGTGCCCCTCATAGTCAAATTCTTATCTAAATCTCAGTATCACATTATTATGTAAAACAAAGGTTGGTTTGGAGAAAACATGAGGCTGAAATAACCTCCATCATTCCTAGTTTTAAACCCTTACAGATGTAATTTAACAAAATCTGGTATTTTTAAAAATATTTATTTATTTGAGAGAGAGAGAGAGAGAGAGAAAGAGTGGGAGGGGTAATGGCAGAGGGAGAGGGAGAAAGGGAATCTTAAGCAGGCTCTGAGCTAAGCACAGAGCCCAACGCTGGATGCTGGGCTCCATCTCACGACCCTGAGATCATGACCTGAGCTGAAATCAAGAGTCGGACGCTTAACCAACTGAGCCACCCAGGTGCCGCCCCAACAAAATCTGTTCTTTAGAGCAAAAATTCCAAACAGATTTTGTAATTATTTCTTAAAATTGCAAATGCTGGATATGATCATGTAAACGCCTATTACGGTAACTTTAAAGAACAAGAGATCAAAGTAGTCACCTAGAGGACAAATTTTTAAAAATAATTGTCCCACTATTATGCACGATTATGCAAATGATGTGTAGCTTGGCATAATGTTTACAATGGCAGAATCATATTTGTATCAAAAAGTTTGAGTCTCAAAAAAAACTTAAGCAGAAATGGCGTGTCCTAGAAAACTGGATAAGTGACTCCAAACACAGGGTTTTGTAATGACAGAGACACAAGTGCTGAATCACATGTGAAGAATTTAAATAAAATCAGTCAATGAACTTTAAAAGTAGAGAAAAATAGTATTTCTAATTAATATTTTAAGTAATATGTGATTTTAAAATACGTATGTGGAAGTTAATTGTTAATTAAAATGCAAGTAAATATTTCACCATTTTATCCATATGTCTTAGGGTTTTACATATTCAAAACTTCTCATTGGGAAAATAAACATTAGTATCTTGGGATCACCTTATATTCAGACATACATAGTATTTATTCCTGCTTTGCTTAAAAAACCAAAACGAATGCTTAACTTTCCTATGAACACCCAAATAAGTAAAGTTTACCTCAGACTTCTTTAAAGGCTCAATTTCTAACTTAATCCTTTCAATGTAATTCATTTAGTTGTATTCACCTTTCCTTCACAAGGTTCAAGGAGAACAAATTATTTTAACCTTATCCTCTAAATGCAAACGTTCTTCAGTCATTGTATTAATTAAACTTTAAGGCACACAATCTTAAAATCAAACCAAGGAAATGGGTGAGAGCCTTCAAAAGGTAATGTAACACAGTTTCCATACGACAGGAATTACTATTATGATCCCCTCACTGAACGCAGCAGAGGAGCCACGCACTGTGTCTGGAGTAAAGTTGTACTTTATAGACAGAAATAGTTGGTACTTACTAGACACTTGGTTCACTTTGGTTTAATTCCTTTTTAACTCAGCCAAAATAAAGGCAAATTCAAATATTAAATTATGGGGTGCCTGGGTGGCTCAGTCGTTAAGCGGCTGCCTTCGGCTCAGGTCATGATCCCAGGACCCTGGGATCGAGCCCCACATCGGGCTCCCTGCTCGGCAGGAAGCCTGCTTCTCCCTCTCCCACTCCCCCTGCTTGTGTTCCTGCTCTTGCTATCTCTCTTTCTATGTCAAATAAATAAATAAAATCTTAAAAAGAAAATAAAAACAAAAAAAACCCAAATATTAAATTATGTTTTCAAGTACTTAAGAAGTAAAAGTTTTATCCATTTCTTTTTCTACTTAAAAAAATATATATAGAACCATCCATTAATAGCATGCATTCTTTGATTAAAAGCTAATTTCCCAAAATTTGGGTATTTTCATTCTTCAGTGGTTTAACTTGACTTTCTTGAAATATATCTAAATAGGAGCGCCTGGGTGGCTCAGTCAGTTAAGCGTCTGACTTCGGCTCAGGTGATGATCTCAGGGTCCTGGGATCAAGCCCCACATCAGGCTTCCTGCTTAGCAGGGAGTCTGCTTCCCTCTGCCCCTCCCCCACACTTGTGCTCTCTCCCTCTCTCTCTCTCTCAAATAATAAAATCTTTTAAAAAAATAAAGAAAAGAAATATATCTAAATCACATCATTAATAAAAAACTCTATTCACAGATCTAGTCATAATTATGCACACAATTAAGCATTAACGTCAGAGCTCAAAAAAACCTATATGAATTGGTGCAGTAAGAGTTAGAATAATGTCACTCCATATTTCTTTAAGATTATGCATAGTATGTCCTCTTTCTTACGAGTTCTCAGATCCTTATAAATTCATATACTTAAAAAAGGGGACTGGGGAAGTGTCCTTAAGGACACGCAGTAACACCAGGAAGTACTAAGTCCTTAGAAAACCATAACGAGGCAATTGCAAAGGCAAATGCGTAAACTTCCAGGTAGAGAACAAAAGGCAGGGAAGCCAGCTGGAGAGGTACCTGGGGGAGTAAGAGAAAGCCTCCCAGTCCAAAGGAAGTGGCCGCTACCTTGCCTTGGCCAGTTTTTGTCTTTCTATATATCGTCATTTCTTCAGATGTTTTTTCAAGAAAATGGAAAATCTGGATTATTACATGCTAGTGCCTATTTTTCAGGTATTGGCAACTAATTCCATTTGCAAAACACAACAAATGCCAAACAAAGCATATCTGAAAACCGGATACTGCCTATAGGCTACCAGTAAGACTAAAGACTAAAGACCCCTTAAGTTGTTAAAGAAAAAAATATTCAACAGCACTCTTTAAAGATGGTAAGGAAAACCTTATCCAGGACCATTGCAATAGGTATAGGGACCCCTGCAATGGGATTTTATGGTGGGGGAGAGAGATTGGATTCAACTCAGCATAAACACATGGGAATTTATAGCTAAGGATCAGGGTGGGGGTCAGTAGATACAAAATTACTAAGAGGAAACATCAGGAGTAAGGGGGGTTCTGGCTAAACTGACCTAACAGGATTCTTTGCTGAAGACAGGCCAGGGTGATCAGACATCACTTGGGGGATGGTGGAAGATGAGGAACCCGATCAGATATCGAGGGGTGATCAGATATGGGGGGGTTCAGGTTAAACTGACTTAGCAGGGTTCTTGCTAAAACTGGATTTTACAAGGAAGTCCACAGATGGACCATGGAAAAAATTTGGAAGCCTGACTAAAAAGTTTGGTCAAATGAAGAATCTCTGTCACTGTTTTTCGGTGTCTGACAACTCTACCAATAAAAGCCAAGTTTTTTACTTCCTAAGACTGAAGAAAGAAAGAAAAAAAATATCACACATCCTGTCTAAAAATCAAATGCTCATCAACAGGCGGCATCTCCACTGACCAGAGCAGTGTACGGTTTCAGTAACATTTTGTACAGATTTTGCCAAACTTGAAAACCTTTTTCATTTTTTTTCTGCTACCACTCTCATAAAAATAACAGAATAATATTTTAGCCTCTAAAGTCACAGCAGGTGAAAGACAAATGCTTTAAAAAAAAGTCAGAGGAGCATCACAATGTACTAGACTCCATCTGAAAATTGAGCTTGCACGTTCATTATTTTCCTTCTTCTCTCCTTCCTTCCTTTCCTTCCTTCCTCCATCCCTCCCTCCCTTCTTTCCTTCCTCCTTCCCTCTCTACCTCTCTTTCTTTTTAAATCTATTTGAAAGTAATCACAATGGCTGAAACGTAGACCTAACAGCAGTGACTGATTTTGTGTTTTGCTTTTTCCCTCTAATGGAAAACATAGTATCAAGTCTGTCTTAAACTAAACCAAGTCCAAAGACAACACCTTGGCTCTGAGGGTCCATCTTATCTCTGCAATATTCAGCCATGAAAAAGAAATCCTGAAAAAAGTGAAAGATAAATGGTAGTCCTGCCTCTGATGATGAAAGCCATGTTCACATTCACAACCAAAAATGTTCTCAATAAAGCCAAGATGCTTACTTATTAAAGAGACATAAAAACACAACTACTTCCAGGGCTTTGAAT